GCGGTTAACGGTGTGTATGTAAAGCCAACCGCACATGGATACAGGGTGTCATCAACAAAAGCTGTTTCAATGGCGAGTACTTGAACGAATTTCAATTTGTTGAAAATTTGCAAAAATATAATGGCGTCAATGTAAGATCGAGAAGAGTTGTCCAGTTGCGTTAGTCTGCCTCATCAAGCCACTCGTGGCCTCAATTATAAAAAAAAGATCTTTTTTTTTATAATTATTAGATATTCTCGGTTCTCTTTTAAGAATATTAATAATAAATTAATTAAGTTTATGTTGAGTACAATTGTGAAACATAGAATAAATGTGAAAAGATAGTTAAAGATGAGTATGAGAGACAATTTCAGATGGAGTTCACGTTTCGTTTCATTCAGAAAATATCGATCAAATATCGATCGAACTGGGATTAAATTTGCGCGTATTAAATTCAACGGGCGTTCGCTTCATGGCTGACTTAGCTCATTCGGATATCGTCGGCGATCCACAAAATTGTTGTGCGGATAATTTTGGTCGAGCACTCGTGAGTCACTCGGGCGACAGTGTGCAATCGATTATATACGTGCGGTGAATAGTCCATCGTGGCACAAAGTACACGATCGTAAACGTCTGTCAGGAATGATTTAACGAATAAATCTGTACATCTTTAGGGACTGACATTACTATCTCAAGACGCAGATGGACAATCGTGATGGTATACCGGCCAAGAAAATATATCAACATACAGCGAGTGTCTTTGCCGTTTGCATTTTGAATGACAGACTGGTAATTTCTAGAGATTTCAAATTGTCAGCAGTTTCAAATTGTCAGTAATTAACTCTTTAACGCGCGTACAATGATTGACTTCAAAGATAAAATGTTGTTTGAGCTTTTCCTTAGATTTTACGATGATCAAAACCACTGCGCATAGACAAAAGACGGACCAGCTTACCAGGTTCACTAACGACGTAGCTGACGTAACAGCTGCCGTCTTTGCGATCCTTAAAGTCTATCTGCGCCTTGCTGGGTCCCTCGACGGAGACGGCGAGGGTGCCCGCACCCGCCTCCCTGGTCCAGATGTTGAACTCGCAGGGTTCGCCTTGCTCTCCTCTTTCCAGACCGGGTCCACCCGCATGAACCCTATGGGCACCGCCGTCCCTAAGCGGACCCACTGTGAACTGGAAGGGCGAACCGGGGATATGCATGGACTTGTAACGCACGGATACCGTGTGCACGCCAAGCTCCTTAGGCACGAACGCCACCGCATAGATGCCGTCCTCGGCCTCTTTGATCTCGGCGTCCTCGGTGACGCCGCCGGGTGACGTAACGGTGGCGGCGAGGTCGAAGGACGTGATACCGGGCATCTTGAAGGTCAGCTTGCACTGGCTGCCGACCTCCGTGATCGGCACGGCCTCTCGTTGCCTCTGAATTTTCTCCCTCTGCCGATTGCTACCCTCTCCGCTGACCTTGACGGTGAACGGCGAGCCTTCGACGTGGTGGTCCGCAAACTTCAGATTCATGATGTAATAGCCAGGTTCGGTGGGTTTGTATGAAATATTCAGGGTGCCGTCCTCGTTGTCCTTGCACTGAATCTCGGCCTTGCTCGGACCCTCCATCGAGAGGGAGAGACCGCCAAAGCCGGCGTTCCTCGTGTCGATCGAGAAGTTGTTCTCCACGTGGGTCTTGCCCTCTTTCAAACCGGGACCTGAGACTTTAACCTTCTTCGCGTCACCGACCTCGCGGTCTTTCACGTCGATCTTGAATGGGGAATTCGGTATGTGCTTGCCCATCCTCTTCACGCTCACGATGTGCTCGCCCGCTTCACGTGGCGTAAACGACACGCACATGTTGCCGCTCGGCATCTTCTTCAAGAAGCAAGGCTCCTCCAGACCACTGGGCGCCGTGATGGACGCATTGAGGGACTTGATATCGGCGTCCGACACTTTACCCGGTAGTTGCACCTCGCTGGAAGAACCCACAGAGATCTGGTTTCTCTTGCGACCTTCGCCTAAAAACGGTATTTAATTTTTTTTTGCATGAGTATAAAAAATTCAAGAAAACGCTTGGAAAAATCATATATCAAAATTTGAATTTTAGAAACAAAGAATTTGATATATATTAATAAAATCGAAAAGATCATTAGAATTGATTATAATACTGAAATAATAATTTTTTATTTGATAGCCTGATTTCTTAATTTGCATTAACAAAATATATATATTTCGAGATAAGTGAAGACACGATCCTGCTGCACTTACCTGTAATTTTGGCGGCAAAAGGACTGCCCTTAATGTGCTTGTCGGCAAACTTAACGGTGATCTTGTATTCTCCAGGCGCGGTAGGCAAGTAAGACACCGACACCGTGCCATCCTTATTGTCATGGCAGCATATTTCGGCCTTACTAGGCCCTTCGACAGCCAGCGAAAGACCACCCGCGCCAGCGCCCTTCGTCGAAATGGTGAAGTTTCCAGGTTCACCGCAGACGCCATAGACCAAACCTGGTCCATATGCCGTTACATATCCACTCGCCAAGGAATCGACATGGAATTTAAAGGGAGAACCTGATAACCAAATCGTATATTAATACAAAACATTGCGGGAGGACATTTGCTTTTTAAATAATTTTTGCAAGATTTGCAAGATTTATTAAAAATAAAAGAGAGCGTTAAAAAAAGTTATTCTGTAAAATTTACATTTGTACAATTGTATTATAACTTTAAATTATAGCACCAATATAACGAGAATAAATATTTATATTTATAAGAAAATATTTTTTTACTTGAGAAAGAACGTAATTGGGAAATATTATATTTAATGATGGACGCGTGAAGTAAATTAATTTGTCGGACGGGGAGATTTATTATTAGCGCAAATTGGCGCTCGCGAGCTCCATTACACGGGGAATGAAATTTCATATAGCCTCTATGTTTCAGGATCGCGTACGCGGATCGTAACGCGTATCGTAGATTAACGCGTTATTCTTGGAAGCTCTGCTTGGACGATCTCGGTATGATCGATCGCGCCTCACGATTGCGTAATCGCCGTTAATTTGCGGGGATGAATGGATTAACTTACCCTGGACGTGCTCGCCGTTGAATTTCACATAAATCTCGTGGAGGCCCTCTTCCCTTGGCTCGTACTTGATGGATACCGTACCATCGTGGTTGTCCTCGATAACCGGCTTGTCCACGTTTCCGCTAGGCATCTTCACTTCGGCTGAAAACGAGCAGAGTAGCGTTCATCAGGCGCATCCCAAGGATATCCGCCGCGCGACATAGTTTCCTCGACTGCGCCGCGATTGGTTGGCACTGGTTGGCACAAAATTGCAGCTTTCGCACCCAAACAAGATTTCATATTTCAAAAATAACTGCTTAATGTTTGTGTTTGTCATATGCGTTTTCATATGCAAAGATACACAGTAATATCTCTTTGTGCATAAATAATATTTCTCTAGAAATAGAAGTCACATTTATCAAGTGCCTGAAGTATGATTTTTAGCAGTTAAATTAAATTTCTCTCAACTCTTGTTGGTACTTATTGCCTTAAAACGTAGATAGAGGAAAGGACTATCAACTTATATCTTACATCTAGAAAATTTGCATATATCCAAAAAATATTAATAAAAAAAAATAATTATG